TAATATAAATAATAATAGTTGTAATGGGAACTGGAAGCTAATAAGATAAACTATTTACCCCTTTTTATTATCTGTTTTTACGTTTAGTGCAGTATTTGTCCTATAAACAATTTCTTCTCTTTATTTCACTGGTTTCTTATCAAGTTTACAACTCTTAGTACGTTTTATCATCCTCTATTTCATTTAGTCGAATAAATAATGTGTTTTATCATTATTACCAATGTTAAAAGCAATAGCTTTATTTTTAACAAAATCGAATTAGAAATGCATAATCTAGATACCTATTTTTCCGACACAAGAAAAAAAATTGCAATGTATTGAGCGAATCATATCCAACATTATTCATTTTCTTTTCTGATATGAAATCTCATTTGTTTACAGAAGGATTAAAATATGTTATCACAGCTTTTAATTCAACAGAACTCACGTCCTTATCGATAAACAATCTGACAAACTGTTAAAGAAATATTTTCCTTCAAATCTAATTCTTCTGGAAACCTGAGCTGGCCAGTCACATACAAAATGTTTCATTATATATTTCATGTGTAAGTTTCACAATTTCTATAATGAATATTTAAAGAAATTGCGCAGTTTCTCTGGTAGAGTTCCTATAAATCAGTGATCAGAGAGGACTGCAAAAAGTCATTTAGTAGCTTTTAATAAGATCTTAAGATTTGTTTTTGTTCTACCAATTAGGAAGGTGCACATGACTTAAGTGGTTTCCACTTACCAGAGATATATTAATGAACCCAATAAAACCGTCCCTTAAAACCTGTTTCATCTGAAAGCCAAAATTGGGCAGTCACAGAGAAAATGTTTGACTATTTATTTCTGTTCGATTCCACAATATCTAAAAATAATATTGAAAGAAATACGCAGTTTAAATGGGAAGATTTCGATATACTAGTAATTAGAGAGGATTGCAGTACTCATTTAGTCCCTGTCAATAAGTTACTAAGATTTGGTTGTGTTCTATGACGGTAATATCAACCACTTGCTAGAGATATTGTTTTCTTTTTTTTTCTGCAATGCTCCTATGTTCGTGAACCCGAACGAAAGTGATATTAACTTATAACGATAGATACTCAAATCAGTTCTTGCTCTTATACAAGGCATAGAGAAGAAGCAAGGGTGTGTTCTGAGTTACTGGTATGATCATTGGGATTCATTCAGCATCGTTCTTCTCTGCGTATTTTTGTCATGCATAACACAAAAAGAAGACAAGGTGGCGATACTTCCTCTCTTTTAATCTCATTTGAATCGAGTAGTTGCCTATTGATATATTGATAAAGATACTGGTCAATAAAAATTATATATATTATTATATTAATAATATAATACAAATATGTTAAAAAGATTTTGTGTTGAATGACGCTATACATATTTAATTAGGTCAAATTTGTCAGTACAAAATATACCCGGAATTATATCTAATGGCGAATATTTTGAAGTACCTAAAGCAAATCTATATTTAGTCTAAAATTGCATTTAACCAATTGTCTATTTCTACAAAACATTATCTCTTAGAGATAAGACAAGCTTATATTCGATACGTTTTCCATTAGGCGATTATACATGATATTGCATTTTATTAATAATGATTTTTATATGTACTTTTCTTTTTATAAAACCAATCAATTACTTGACTGTTCACAATGTTTTATGATTAAATCAATTGTTTCAATTTATCATATTAATGAATGAATGACGGAATAAATACATTTTTATTAAAAAAAAAGCACACAGAATCAATGAAGTATGTGTAATCTTCCTCATTCATTGCGCTCATAATAAAAAATAAAGTCTTGATAATTATATATTCTTTTTTTAAATATTATTATATAAGTTGAATGAATGAGTATTTAAACATTCAAAGTCCGCAAAAAATATGATTCCTTATAATTTTATTATCTTCAAAGCAAAGAACTTCATTTCTGACAATGGACATAAAATGGACTGGAGAAAAAGTTAATTTTACCACGAGTATATCTTAGTATCTTGTTTTAACTTCAAATACATATTTGCGCACATTTAACTGTTTATTTAAATATATTTTATAAAATATTAAAATAAATAATAAATATAATAGAAAAAATATATTTGTATTATAAGTTTAATCTTAAGGTCATATATGTTTGATAAGCACAAAATTTGGCTATAAACACTTAAGTAACTAAACTAAATTATATTTTTTAATTTCTATTGTTAAAGTTAATAATATATTTTTTAAAATAAGTTTTTATAAAAATTATTTATTAATTTTAATCTATTAGGAGGGGTGATCAAATTAGAACTATATATTTTTAGTTCCAATTTAAAAAGAGTGTTAAAATAAAAGCTATATAAGTTTAATTTTAAATAAAATCGTTATAAATTATTTTCGTAAATTATTTATTGAAATTAAATCGGTGTAATGTAGCAATGTGATATTTTAATTTTAGTTTAGGCATTGGCTCCTGACTTTCATATATTTTTATAATTCAATTCTGAAATACCAATTTCGTGACGTTTTTACCAATAAAACAATTATTTTGATTTCAAGACTATTGAGTGTTTGTAGTTTATTGGTGTTAAACTAATGCTTTAACGTAATCCCAAAGAAAATAGTCTGGTGTTATATTGTAACCCTTGTGGTTACCCTTTCACATAAACACTTTTAAAGATCACACGATCATTAAGTATACTGTTTTTTCTATAAATTAAATGTGTTGTGAAATCTATGGCTAGTTTAACCGTCTTATTGGGACTACATATCATCCAAAAAGAGATAATCTAAATTATACCACAAAAAGTTATGAGTCACATTCCATTCTTCCGCGGTGGTAACTGTAAATCTTTTTTCATTTTTCAAATAAAAATAAAATTGTTTCCAATTACTTCTCCAGATCATAAACCACCATAAACTGTTAATTTTTTTTATAATCCAAATCGAGATAATCTAAATTATACCACAAACACTTATGAGTCACATTCCATTCTTCCGCGGTGGTAACTGTAAATCTTTTTTCATTTTGCAAATAAAAATAAAATTGTCTCCAATTACTTCTCCAGACCGTAAATCATCATAAACTGTTAATTTTTATAATTTTAAACGTGTTTTATATATAGTATATGAATTCCAGACCATATCCTACTTTTAATTGAAAAATTTAAATAGATCTAAACATGTTTTATAAACATCATGTAGGGTTCCTTCACTTTTAATGTGACAGTTTTATTTATTTACGAAGCTGTTTAACTAGAAATGGACTTCATTGCTGCTTCAAGTTGCTCTCAAGTCTAATCTGCAAAATTCCTATGTCGTTGTATTAAAATTCTTGGATCAACTAAATTTTATATGCCATTAAATCCAAATACTTGTAAAAAATGTTTCATTTATAAATGAAATCACTTTACGATATTGAGATATAGGAAGGTCGAAGATCTTGAGAATAACGTTTAATTGATTGGTCTCGAATTTTAATTATATCTTGATCCACAGCATATCGGTATTTTCAGCTATATCTTTACATTTTTAATGCAAATGAATTTTTAAATCACATATAGTATTATTTGATCTGAATACTTCCATAAAATTTATAGGTCAATAATGTTAGGTTAGGTGTAATCTCACCTAATATATCAATAGGTAATTAGTATACTATCTAGTATACTGTCTATTTGAACTGCTATTTATATAGTAGTAGAATAAGAAATAATTATTATTATTTATAGAATAAATAAAATAAGTACATATTATATTTGTTATAAATTTTAAATATTTTTATAAATGGCGTAACTGTGTATCTTTCCATGATGATTTGCAAAATAATAGAGAACACAAATGTCAATTTTATTAATTATCTGAAAAGAAAAAAAGTTTTAAAAATATGTAGTAGTTATTTGATCACCCTCAACACTACCAAGGAAAAAATTTGAATTTATTTATTTTTGGCTTACATAGAATATTAAAAATAAGAATTATATATATTTTGAAGTTTTAAAGAAAAAAGAATTTTTTTTGGTTTTTTTCTGTTTTTTTTTGGTTTTTTGTAAGTTGATTAATTTTATATTTTCGATTTATTGATTGCAAAATATAAGTATCCGATTTAAATTAATATCAATCAATAAAATTCAGTTTATGTAGTTTTTATTTAGTCTATTAATTTTTATTAGACAGTGAAATGATCTATATTTTTTTCCTTCATAGTGTTTATTTTTGAAAAATCAATTAATCAAAATATTAGCTAAAATAAATCAAAAATAAAAAAAAATTGGAAAAAAAAAATCATAAAAATGAATTCAGAAAATATATTTTAAAAAAAAAAAAATGTAAAGAAAAAATTAAAAAAAAGGAAATTTCAAAAAAAATTTAAATAAAAAATAAAAATAGATAATAAAAAAAATTAAAATAAAAAATCAAAAAAAAGAGATAATGGTAACATACTCAGTGCTTAGAAATAGATTTATTTCTGTATTTATTTCTATATTAATTTCTATATTATTTCATTTAAATCCATAATTAGATTTTTTTTATCAGTTGCATTTTAATATAAGTACAGCTAATGTATTTTGTTATATTATTTACATCCACTTATTATTAAGTTTTTTTGACTGGCTTATCATATAAATTTATTTTAAATTTTACCTATGATTGATACAAAGCAAAATTTTTAAATTTTTATCTCCAAATTAGATGATTTTAATTCAAAAATAAAGTAATTTGTAAGATTACTGAATATTAGCATGAAAATAGTTGATAGTATGACATAGAATGTAACAAAAAAAAAATTTTTTTTTTAGACTACATTACTAAAACTTAAACTGTTTTTATTATAAATTTTTAATTACGAAAATTCAAAAATTACAAAACAAAAGCTCCTATAATGCGAGTTCAATCATTTTTTAAACCAATTTTAATTCCAAAAGAATAATATTTAAAGTATTTAATAAAAAATACATATTTAAATATATTTAATAAATAAATATATATCTATAATATCCTATAGTTTCTTTTTCAGGAAGTCCTAAAAAGACTTCATTCGCTATTATTTACGAATTTCCTCTTACGTGACATTTGTCAAAGAGCACAAATAAAAACAATTTTAGAAATTTATAAATCATGATGAAAAAAGAACCGCCATTAAAAAATCTGGCTACTAATGCTACGTCTAATGATTCAGAACACCTACTCAACACTGCAAATGTAAATAACGGCAATAATAATAGTAATAATTACAGTCAAAATATTGGTTATAATAGTACGATTAGTGCACTAGTACGTGGTATACACGAGACAGGAATACATGATCTGCACACATTACATTTGCCACTGATGACGAATACCGATGATGCAACAAATGTTGAAAACACAGTCACAAATTCCAATGATCCAGTTGCCATACATACACCACAACGTCAACAATTTCCGCTTACAAATAGAGTATCTTCATATTCTACGCCAAATTCTGTTCTATCTACACCACGTAGTAAATTTTCAATATCACCACAACCATCCGCAACATCCTTAACAATACCACGTTTCATTATAAATATCGAACCACCTGAAACGCCAAATGCTGAAGATGATTGCAACAAGACTATTACTGGCTCCGAAGTGCCGCATAGTCCAGGACGTCGTTTCAGCCAATTAAATTTTGCCTTAAGACGTTTTTCACACGCACATTCTTCAGGGGTACAAACTCTTACTTTTAAATGTAGTTCTAGCGCAATAACCCAATATTCTTTAAAATACTCTAACTTGCTCTAACTATCAATTGGTCTCTCTCTCTTACACTTACTCTTATTTTGCTCCTCTTATTAACCAATTAACCAACTCACTATCTGCTGTGCTGTTAGTTTGGTACTTGCTCTTAACAAACTTTCTTGCTCTTGACTAAAGCTATTTTCGCTCTTAACATTCTAAACGCATTTTTTTTTATTAGCCACTCTCTCTTATTAATACTTCACACAACACTTGCCACACTCACACTTAAACGGACCACACTTTGTTGTTGTTTTTATTGTTGTTCTATGAAAACTTTGTTCCTTAACCTCTGCAATTTAAGCGCATAAAATTGTATTTGTTTTTTTTTTTTTGTTTTTGTTTTTAGTTGCACTGAGTTTTTGTTTTGCATTAGCCAAGTTTAAAAATAGACTTGCTTTGAGTGCACGAACTTTGTTTTTTAGCCTTAACCATTTTGCAGTCAACATTTGTACAGTGATTGTTTTTTATGACTGTTGTTGTTGTTAAAATATTTGTTGTTGTTATTGTTGTTGATCCTTGTAAACAATGGAACATCAAAGTTTAACGATCTTTACAAATTTACAACCCAGCAGAGCCAACAAAGCCAAAGTTGAAACAGTTTAGTTTAGACCATCTGCAACTCGTTTTAGCCATTATCGTGTTGGAAGTGGTCTTTAGATTTTTTTTTTAATTTTGCATGATCTTCCTTACTTTTTTTAAAGGTTTTATTATACCCTTTTTTTATGGTTTTGTTATATATCTTCAATTTATAATTAAAGTGTCATAACAAAAATAATTAAATATTATTCAAACTATTAAAAATTTAATATTATTAATTATATATATAAATTATATATATAAATTATATATATAAATTATATATATAAATATAATATATATAAATTATATATATAAATTATATATATAAATTATATATATAAATTATATATATAAATTATATATATAAATTATATATTATGTATATTAAATACTTGGTCAAAATATGAGTTTCCTATTCATAATCAAAAAATCGATTCAGAAACTGACTCCATTGTAAAAATTTAATTTTTTTTACATTTTAAACACGTTTAGCGGATGCTAAACGTTAAGTGTTTCAAAATGGCGAATCCTTAACATAGGACATATCTAACAATAAAACATTGCAGTCAAATCAGGATTATGAATCCATAACCCTATATTAATTATAGGGTTTTTAATGTACAATAAAATGTTATAAAAAAATGTTTTTTTTCATTGTACTTTAGTTTTTTAACGGTAGGTTTTTACTGTTCCTGCTCTTGTTATTGTTATTGTTTTTCTAATGTATGTGTGCGTGAATATTAAAGTATGAATGTAAGTAAATCATAACTTCGGTGAGAAGTAAAATAAATTGGTGTTGTTTTACTTTATTATAACTTTTATAGTTATTATAATGTATAAATACTGACAGTGTGAATATTTGTTAACTTTATTTGTTTATTATTTTAGTACAAATAGTAATAAAATTAAAGTATACTTAATAGTGCTAAATCAAACATTTAATTAATAGATTATTTTTAATTAACTTCACAAAAGTATACAAATAAATTATTGCAGTTTTGCTAACATTTTGTAATATAATTATCTGTTGCAATATCTATGTAACACAATATGTAAATCCTGTAATATGTAACAGATTATTTTTGATAGGGCTTAAGGTCATTAAGTCCAATAGAAAAACAAAAACATATATATTATAAATAATTGAGATCGATAACAATTTTTTAAATAAATTTTATTTCTATAAAAATATATAATCTAACCCAATAAACAAATAAATTAATATTATTGATTGTCAAATAACACTAATAAATAATGTTAATAAATTAGTTTTAATGAACAAATAATCGATCATATTAATTAATAAATAAATAAATAAATATACTTATTTACTTATTTCTATTTAAGGTAAGGTTCTTTTTTTATCTTATCGAACAGATCTGATTAGTAAATGTAAGCAGAGAAATCAATATACTATACACAAATTATGGTTGAAAAGGTTGTTAGTCCTGTTATTTTAATCCTATTAGACCAGTGTATATAATTTAATGATTATAATAAAACATTTAAGTAGACTATAATAAATCTATTTTCAATAAGTGTCGTCTTTTAATAAATTAAAATTCAATATTTTAAATATGGTATTTCTGTAGATAATTAAAAGCTTGTTATTGTAAAAATATTTATTTGTTTTAAACAAAAATTTATCCCTTTTTATTTTTAAAACTTAAAGCTTGATATGCCAACTTACCTAACAGCTTTCTTAATTTAGATTACTTTCCGATTATTTTATATAAGATACCAAATCAAACTTAAAAGCTTTTAAAAATATATTTATACAATTATATATATATAATGAGATATTCTGCTTATAAACTTAATCAACACCCTCAAATAATTTTATACGTAATAATGAAATGTGCTTCACCTGTAGTGGAAATATTATTTTATGATCATTTTTTTTGTGCATTTATTTTACGTTTTAATTTAAAAATAATCTAAAGTGCATTTATTTTTTGCCGAATTAGTTGATTAATTTTTGATCGATTCTTTTAACTCTTCAGCAATTTAAACTTTCGCTGATTCATTTTGAGAAAAGTACACACCCTTGAAATCTTCATTTTTAATGATTTTACGAAGTTTCTTAATAAAATTTAAATTTGTATTAAAGTTAACACAGAAATTTCTTTTATTCGACTTATAATAAAATTTTTAATTACACATAATACATTAAAACATAGAAAATAATCTGTAATATTGTAATTTTAGGACATTATTGTTTTTATGATTAGTTTATGATTAGTTCTCTTGTTTCTGGAGAGCCTTGTTTGGTGCTCTCCAGAAACAACCTCCAGTTTACTGACACATCACCAATGAACAGTGACACTTCACGAGATGTATGCGCTATACTTGATTACCAATGACAACTGAAAACAGGGCCTAGATAAGTTTAGACCAGTAACTATTATATATAGTATATTTATTTTACCTTTTGAAGACTTCGTAGCTAGTTTCTTGTATCACAAAATTAAAGTAATAATAGGAGGGACCGTCATTATGCATATTTACTTAGATTAGATGCAAGCTTTCAAAAGCAAGTCTATACAGAAAAACTTTTAAGGCAGTCCTGACAATTTTCTATATTCATACCTGTATTTTCGCAATAATTTTTAGTGTTGAGGCAGTTTTTAGTCATCCTTCATCTGGATCGCTGTCAGGATTCCTACGGCACTTTTAAATAAAGTAGTCTCCTTACATTTCAAACTTTTTGAGGAACAGTGCAATCACATTAACACATTAACTATTTATGCATTAAATTCTACCGCCTTTAAGCTTTTTTTTACCAAAAATTTAAACACTGCACTTTGTTGAATTTTTTCAATGATTGAAAAATACGTCAATTTCAAATAGTTTAGAAACAAAGAATGAATTGATAAATTAAAAAGATAAAATATTAAGATAGAGTCGAAGTATTGGGTGTATTGATGATAGCAGTCCGCGAAATTATTGAATACTCTAGTAGTAGTGGGTAACATTAAACTATGTTGCCGCCCGAATAGTAGATGAATCAAAAAGTATCTGCATTCGGTTTCTAAAGTTGTAATCCCTCTGCTGACATCTCATATGCCAAATTTATCTGACTATATTTTAAGATTACAATAAATTCTATTATTATTTTGTCATTATGTATTTATTATTTTTAATATCATTTAAATTTTATTAGCTATTGTTATATAAATAATAAATGCAACAAATTAATAATTAGTTATAAAAATTATCAACGACTACATATCAAGGCGAACGACAATGATTAACAGAAAGCTTATCAAATTTCAATTAATATTTTATAATTATCAATTAATTAACAACTGAAAACATTATTTTTATGATAAGGAAATATCTGCGATAAATCACATGTACATTATATCCTTACATGTGATTTATTTATAGAATAATTGTTTTTCTTTTTATATAAAAATTTAGTAGATAAGCAATTTTACTAGTATTAAAGCTGAGCAGTCTAAAATTTGTTTGACACCTCAGACGTATTTATCGAAATTGAAGATCATCTACAAAAATTATACAATGGAGTGGAAATATATTAATTTTATTCAAACTTTATAAAGTTTTTTTATTGTGTATTAAAATAGGCTAATGTAATAATACATATTACATAAAATTAATGTAATGTTGTTTATATGTTATCAACGAGAGGCTAAAAAAACACTTTTTTTGGTGGGAATGCCAATTCTCTTACTTTAATGTTTTAGTAAAGAAAACACTACTATCTAATACTATAATCTATCAGAATCAGGTTAATTCATTATGTTAAATGACCTCTTGCTAGCGGCTCTTTTTAGACGATTAAGTTTTTGGAAAATTTTAATTTTAAGGTATTGGCAGAATTGGACATAGTCGACCTAATAAAAGTATTAAGGTTTCTAATGGATATTAGATGGTTTACTATAGGTACTCGAGAAGGTGAGGTAAATTCACTAATAGTAAAACAACACATTTGTTGATGGGACTGTTATTATAGGTTAGGTTAGTTTATACCGGCGATCTCAAGAGATCTACCTATAGGCAATTGTGTTACCGTATAATTAGAAAGTCAATGGTCAGAACCACTTAGAACTTTTGGTAAAGCTTATAGAGGAAAGTCTTGCAGTTCACCAAGATCCTCGAAAAAGAAATCCACTAAAGTGATAAGACGTCGATATTGAACATTTTCTTACTATTACCCCTTTTTTTCTTCGGAATAGATTTCTTGTCATAGGGCGGTAAGTTCTTATATATTGTTGGAAATAATAGTGTTTATAATGCTATTATAATAGTGAGAGATATATTTTTAATAAGAATGACTAGATGAATTGGGTTAGATACAGCCGTTTGCCTATTTATATATGTAG